TATTAGCCGTAAATAATAAAACTTTTTATGACGTGCATATGACATGCCGTTAATACATCAACTATACATGACACGCGTATACCAACAACTAAAAAAACACAAAGGTCCAAACCCAGTTGACAACACAACTTACTCTTTGAAAGTTCATGACGAGACAACTCCAACGAATGGTAAACACACAAAATTAATAATTATTTTTCATATCTTTTACTACATATATAGACTTGATTCTAATGCCTATAATTTGTTTAATATATATGAAAAACAGGTGATGCATCATCGCAAATTGTTTGCTCTCTGACACATGAATCGCATGAATTATGTAACATGACACCTTATACATTTTGTAAAGCTAACATGTTTGAATATGAACCTCTGAGCTTTTGTTGCTATAAAGGAGAAATAGTGCTTGCAAGCCCCGAAGTTCCAGAATGTCTAAGGACCTTGTTCACTTCTCAAACTATAGAGGCTATTGAATTTCGTAGACATATTCGAGCATATAATAGCATTTTTGCATTCACATCATTTGGCGTGAAATTAGACAAGGAATTAGCAAATTCTAGACGAGGTGTTTATACATTTCATGCACAAGGTCAAATATACCATGATTTTCCATCTTTGATTTCATCTGGTAAGGATCCTTGTTATTTCCAGTTGTACTTCTATGATAAAAACAATGAACTTTAGAATAGATTGAGTAAACTAAACGATGCACCACTTTGTAAGGTCGTTGTTGGTAAACTAATTGAGATACTTTCAGAAAATCCTTATGCTCAGTTTTTGTGTACACTAGAACATGTTCCATCAGATACTTTTCAAATCCATATAAGTACAGATGTGAAATTGGATCAAAGGGTTTACAACTCACCGTCAGCTGATCAGGTAGCTGCAATTTGGATTGAAGGAAATAACCCAAATATACCTCATGAACGTGATATTATAGTTCACTCAAATTCGGGGCATAAGCATAGAGTGCGACACTATCATGGTTGTTACGATCCATTGCAATACCCATTATTATTTCCTAGAGGAGAGGTTGGATGGCATCAAAATATCCTTAAAAGAAATAGAGCTGGAGTAGATAATTGTGTCATTAATATGCAACAAAATTCAAATATGCATTCATTTACATCAGATGAAGACATTTTTAGACAAGAACAAGAAGGTACTTATTTTTTTCTAATAATGAAATCATTTTTTTTATTTTTATTATTTTATATTTTATCGTTTTTTGTTTTTCATTTTTTGAGATTTTTATTATTTATGACCTGGACGTTGAACGACTAATAAGAAAATTAATAGAAAGGATAAGTCATGGAATAGCAAGGTATGGCCAAGCTTGTGTTTCGTTGAACAATTGTATATTTTTCATAGTTCTTTCATGAAACCTACCATTATTGTTTTGAACAGTCCAAGAATCGAAATAAAAATGAGATATTTGATGAGATTGTCAAAAAATATTTGAATATTTCAATTCACTTTACATCTATGATGAGATTGTCATGAAAAACAACCGTCTTTACACCCCAAATTTTGCTAATATGTAAATACTTTTCTCATTAAAGATACTAAAATATTCAGGTAACCATTTAATATTAATTACTTTTTTATACACTAAATGGTTATTTGATTTTTATATTTCTTACATTTGTATAAACAATTTGCAATGAATAGACAAGAAAATGTGCATGTTCTGGATTATTTGAATTCTTTGTGCCTATTTAGTTGTGATTTCATTATATATTTTTCATGTATACTATTATAATGTCTCTTTTTTTCTTATTGTAAATTTAATGTTTGGTGTAGATGTTGATGGTTGTGGCAAAAAGAATGTATCTGTAGACACCCCATTTTGACCGGCCCTAAGACTTGGGCGCTTTCTTTTGATTACCCGATGATGACAAGTAGAATGTGTTTTTCACAGAATCCTCAGTAAGAGAGATGGAATTTGAACTTTAATCCCAACCTTCACTATTATGGCAAAATTGTTTTAAAATACTAAATATTTCATTAGTTTAGTATTTTTCTAAATTTGCATAATTTTATGTGTTTGTTCATATTTTTGGTGTTTTTATATAAATTGGTATAAATTATATATTTTATATATATAAAATAAAATAATAAAAAATTATATTATTATATTATATGTTTAATATTATTATATTATATGTTTATTATTTCATATATAGTTGTATTATTATATTATATGTTTAGTATTTTATACATAGTTATATTATTATATTATATGTTTAGTATTTTATACATAGTTATATTATTATATTATATGTTTAGTATTTTATACATAGTTATATTATTATATTATATGTTTAGTATTTTATACATAGTTATATTATTATATTATATGTTTAGTATTTTATACATAGTTATATTATTATATTATATGTTTAGTATTTTATACATAGTTATATTATTATATTATATGTTTAGTATTTTATACATAGTTATATTATTATATTATATGTTTAGTATTTTATACATAGTTATATTATTATATTATATGTTTAGTATTTTATACATAGTTATATTATTATATTATATGTTTAGTATTTTATACATAGTTATATTATTATATTATATGTTTAGTATTTTATACATAGTTATATTATTATATTATATGTTTAGTATTTTATACATAGTTATATTATTATATTATATGTTTAGTATTTTATACATAGTTATATTATTATATTATATGTTTAGTATTTTATACATAGTTATATTATTATATTATATGTTTAGTATTTTATACATAGTTATATTATTATATTATATGTTTAGTATTTTATACATAGTTATATTATTATATTATATGTTTAGTATTTTATACATAGTTATATTATTATATTATATGTTTAGTATTTTATACATAGTTATATTATTATATTATATGTTTAGTATTTTATACATAGTTATATTATTATATTATATGTTTAGTATTTTATACATAGTTATATTATTATATTATATGTTTAGTATTTTATACATAGTTATATTATTATATTATATGTTTAGTATTTTATACATAGTTATATTATTATATTATATGTTTAGTATTTTGGTATAAATTATATATTTTATATATTATATTATATATATTATAAAATAAACATGTCCCTAATCACGTCAATATAGCCTTTTGTCACCCCTTTTTTTCTCTAACGCCCACCATATTATACCTCGGGGCACTCTGTCATATGCTTTCTCAAGGTCGATAAACACCATATGAATGTCTCTTTTCTTTTCTTTATACTTTTCTAGTACTCTCCTCAAAAGATAGATCGCTTCCATTGTTGACCTACCAGGCATAAACCCAAATTGATTCTCTGACACCTTTGTTATGTCTCGCAATTGGCGTTCCATCACCCTCTCCTACACTTTCATTATATGACACATTAGCTTAATTCCTCTATAGTTGTTACAATTTCAGGTCAACGGGGATCCTCTAGGTCTGAGGTTCGATTCTACTCCCACTTGCCCAATTCATAGGCTTATGGTGGCCTCTGAATTATGAATTTTACAAGCCTGGATTGGGTTCAAAGGACCCCCCTACCTAGGTTTAGTTCTTAATCATAAAAATAAAAATAAAATGTTGCATTAGTTCTGTCGGACTTAGTTCCACTGTCTTCTCTAAAATTTAGGGAGCGTTTTGATTTACATGCATCTACATGCCGGTTTTTAGAGCAATCTTAGTAATAACAATTTTACAGGTTGTTTGTTAACGTTTTTGTTTCTTTTTTTCTGTTTGTCTTTAATTTTTTTGATAATTGAAAACAAAAACTTGTTTAGTATATTATTTTTTGTTTTCAAAAAAATGAAATTGATTTCAAAATATTCAAAATTTTTGAAAAAAAAAAAATGCTTTCACATGTTTTTTTTTTTAAAAAACAAGGTTTCACTTTTTCCTCTTATCTACCACCTTTGGCCAACACCCACCGCTGATGTCTAGTGAGCTCCGGCCAACCTCCGGCAACTCTGTGCCGAGTGGCCGGTTACTGTCGTGATCTTTGGCTACCTTTTGGTGTCCTAGCCACCATGTGACCTTCAGCAACATCTGACCACAAACTCTAGTAGACACTTCCAACCACAGGTCACCACATCCATCCACCAACTTTGGCAACTCATCAAATATGTTTCGCTAATTTTACTTTTATTTATTTTCAAAATATTTTTTTATACCAAACAAGTTTTCTATTAAAAATAAACGAAAACTTGTTTCTTATTTTTTATAAATTGAAAGCGTTGACAAGCTATGCATAGCCAACAATGACTTGTACCTGCAGACCTGATTTTACAGCGGTTAGTAAGGGATGCATTGTGTACCCAACATTACGAGTTCTGTAAATTGTTTGTTTTGTTTCGTTTTGCAGTTTGTGGTGCTCCGAAACGAAGATTTAGGGCATATGCACCTGATGTATCCAAAAATGCCAATGCCACGGATGTCCGAAAAGCCCGCAAGGCAGAGCTCCAGAGAGATGAAGCTATTGGGTAAGAATGGTTCTTTCTTTCAAATAATGTTTCATGTTTTTTTACATGTCTTGTTAATAAGTACTCTAAGAACATTGATTGAATAGAATAAAATGATTGTACATTCTTTGCAACACGTAATACAACTATTTCAAGCTTATATGAATCAACTTCTCACATGATGTTCAATTAACTGGGTACAGGAAAGCATTGCCTATTGCAATTGTGATTGGGGTTGCTGCACTGGCTGGTTTATACTTTTACCTCAACAGCACTTACTGAGTTTGCATGACAGCCACCACCAAGCTGGACTTCTAGAATGGAGAGTTATTCTTGTAATTCCCTTTTTGGTTTCAATTTTGTTGTTCATAAAACTTGTAATGCATTGTATGTTCCAGCTCTGCTCTGCCCTTCCCAGAGCTGAATTGTCAATTTTCTTGGAGAAAAAATTCAAAATCCATGAGGAATGTAAAAAAAATAGATTTCATTAAGCCACATACCTTGTATGGGCCTAAGCTTAATAATGCATTAGTTGATCAAATATGCATTTTATCTAATTCACACACTTTTTGGCTTACTAGACCAATAAGAATGGGCCTATTTGGTGAAGTTTCCAATAAACTGAAAGCCACTAATCAAAAAGTAAAAACTAAGGGCATGTTTGATTGGATGGATTAGAGTATGGGATTGAGATTATTAATCCGTGAGCTCAATTAACCTGTGTTTGTTTTAACATTTTAGTTTAGGATTATTAATCCAAATGGATAATTAATCCAACAAATTTGTAGGAATATTAGTAATAGGGTAAAAGTGGGATTATTAATCCAATGGATAATTTATCCTATTAATTCAATTAGATTATGAATACCATACTAGTTTTAATAGGATTATTAATACTTCACTATTAGTCTTGTGAATCAAACATGACCTAAAAGTACAATTTTCCAATGATCAGTTTTTAAAATTTTATTTAAGTTATTTTGTCTTATAAGTTATAAGCAAAAACTATAGCAAACACTGTAATACAAAATTTTAAAATAAAAATAGTTATAAAAAGCTTAATAAGTTGTACAAAACAATCCCAAATAGCATCAGTGAAGCTAATTTGACCTATTTTGACCGGCTAGTGGGGTACAAGAATAGGCCCTTGCAAGGACAGACATGGGTTATTTGGCATATAAAAAGGGCAAAGGGCAGACATGGATTTGGCTTATAAAAAGATGAGCTGTAATGAATAACATGCCTAGAGAGAGAAATATATATCCATATTCCACAACCATCAGCAAAATAAGTCACAACCCAGGTAGAGGATACAACTAGCATACTCATAAAAGACTCAGAAATGCTCAATCACAGTAGCCCTATAACACAGATTCTCCATTCACTTGACAACCCTCCTGAGATGCAAAAATACTCTACAGACAGCTTGCACATAATGATGAGGCTATGATCAAATGCCTTTAGGGGAAGATTCAAAATGTTTTTACTCACCACACAAAAGAAATATATATATATACATATATATTAACCAACCTCCTTG